GACATATATGCCATATAAGGTTTCTTAGTATTAATCCTTGTACCAATCAAAGGTGATACTTACTATAAAATAAAATAATGACTAGATTTACTCCAGACTTTATTTATACGCAAAAAGATGTAAAGAGATATTTGCTATTAAAAACCAGCAGGTTGAATTACATTTATATATCGCAAAACTAGACGTTGTACAAAAAATTATTAATGACTTGTGTTCGCCCATAGTAGTGTTTTTAATGTTTTCCATATTGATTTAATGTATTTGTTATGCATAATTTAACAAAAATATTAGCATTCTGTACTGACTCTCTATATACATATAAACTATAAGTGTGGGAAATTTCATACCCCTCCATCAACGCAATTTTCTAAAAAAGGGATACAAAGTTTTTGCTTCACCTATTACTATTAATAATTTATCAATATTACAATACAATTGAGTGGCAAACGAACGCCAAACTTCAATAATTCTTCATCAAATTTAAAAATAATTTAAACACCATTTTTAAAGCTTATGTTTGCCACTATTGAATATATATGTTTTCATAAAAACTTTCTTTTTAAATTACAAAAACAATTTATGATAATTCCATCTATTGACAATTTTTTTAAATGAAACATCGAAAAAGACTGTACCTGTCATTGATAAATAGTTATTATATTACCATTCGATGACTGATCACGGTATTGCGCTATTTCTCGCGGGTAAACCTGTAATACGTGTAATAGGTTAAAAAAGGATAATGGTTATCAACACAAAGGCGACCTATCCGTTAGTCGAAGATTCCGTCATCTACAGACCCTTACCGCGAGGTACGGTTCGACGGAATGTCTTAGACCGCGACACGTCCTCGATTTCCTTGATGATGAGACGACTATCGCCATCAACAGGATAAAACAATTAGGGAACACAGCTCATTCGCCGGCGAGTACGGCAAATATATACTATGTTCCCCAACGTACCTAGTAGGTTTTCCTTCCTTAATAATAGAAGCGCTGCTGGAGTTTAGTACGCCACTTCTTCTACCAACGCCAACGCTTGCCGAAGTGGTAGTAACGATAGCTTTACAAATTCTCCTAGCCCGACTACAACCAAGCCAAGATCGGGCCCTCTCGCGCACCCCTAGAAGGAATTCTTAGGGTATTGAACAACAGCCCAAGCCGAGGTCCCCTCTAGAGGGCCTTTGAGTCCAGTTACTCCATGGAGCGTCCGCCAAAGCGACTAAGAACTTGGCGGCCTCCCAAACCGGTACCAAACGGTAAGTTTGTATGTATGGATGCATGTTTGTTGTCCTTTCACGAAAAACTACTAAATGGATTTTAATGAAACTTTACAATAATATAACTTATAACATCATAATAACACATAGGGTATAATTTATATACATATTTTTATGAATATCTGTCTTTCTGTCTGAATGTTACGCCTTCATCCCATTCTACGGAAACGTAGTCGCGGGCAGCAGCTAGTAAATAATAATAGCGTGATGGCCCGAGACTCCCTCTAGCCCTAGAGCCTCCACCATCACCACCACCGTCACCCATAATCGAGGTAAGAGCTAGGCGTCCTCAGCTTCCGGCCATCAGCCCGGTAGATTTGTAAATGCCTACTCAAGGCCAACAGTGGTTGATCAAGCCAAAAAACCGCAAAAAGGCGGGATTCCCCTGCAAATTGTTTGTTGCATTGGCCGGGTGACAGTTTGATGCAACTGGAAGCAGAGCGTGAACCTCGCACCGCGCGTCGTCGTTTCGGACTGGTCGCTCGTGACGTAATCTCGTTTAGCTTGCAAGAGCGCAATCAGACCGGCCCCTAATAGTGATGTGAGGCGTCGTGAACAATTATCGAAATCGATTTTGCACAAATATGAAGGTGTTCAGTGCGCTTTCTAATAATATGGACTTGGTCGGTCGAAATTCATGTGAACTCGTAGATTTGGTGGTAACAGACTTTAGTTACCTGGTAGAAATTATTCTATCCTACTTCAGATAAAACAGGATCATAATATGGAGCTCACGGTGATGGATTTAAGTGGATAAGTTCTTCAAGTATCTAGCTTTATTCACTGTTGGGTTCATGAGTAAAAATATTTTTCTCCAAGTATATTTTTTCATCGTCATCATAATTTTCTTCATTTAATTTTATTAATAAACCAGATTTCTTTTGTAGATGCTCACGCGAATTATAAACAGATATAATATCACCAATTTTAGATTTTAGATGACTCTCTGGCGCAGTTGTCAAGGTATTGGCTTCGGCGTCGGGGGTCGTAGGTTCGATTACCACACGGGACAAGTATTTGTGTGACCTACAGATAGTTGTTTCGCATATGAGTGTTTGTCCGCATGTTTGTAAAACTTCCTTACAACACAGGATAATCTTATCCTAAAGTAAGGGCAATGTTTTTTAAATAAAAAATTAATTCACGATAAAACATTTTTAAACGAATTATCAATAATAACACGTGAGATTTTGATATTAACGATGACCTGGCATCGATAGCGACAAATAGTTACGTCCGATGTTATCAAAAGTGTAAACATGACTTCTGACATATCGAAGTTTAGGTAACATCACTAGCAGCGATGGCCATTAAAACGGCTTTATAGTAGATATTAAGTTCTTCAAAGAATTTATTCTGAAACATTGATGGTAGCTTCGTGGCCATTTTCCTATTCACTATAAATCTAACAACTTCTCTTTCTTATGTGGTGAAAATGCGTACGCATTCCCACTATCGCAGAGTTAAGGACTTACGTCAGACCCGCACTGACTAAAACCCTTACGATGTTTCACCTAGTGCGCAATTCGGGAGGGAGGAGGCTTTAACACAATTCTGTTAACCTCCCAGCGCTGGCTGTCTCAACAGCTCCTCCTCGGCGAGCATCTCCAGTTTAGCACCAGGTGAGGCAACCTGGAACATTCATCGTACCTCCCCATTTAGCCCCTTTTACAAGAGCAACGAACTCCCCAGGGTCCGCTGACCAGAGGCCATAGGAGCCAGAAAAGCCAGTACTACTAAGCAGCCTTCCAGCTCCCAATGGTGGATCTGGTCCGTGGCTCCAAAGCCACGCTGTAACGTGGTGAATGTTAAAGTTGCGGAGGTTTAAACGACGTAATACCATTATCCCTCTCCCCTCGTAGCCTCACCATCACTGTATCAGCGGTACAGCCCCTCTGAGTCGCGAAGACCAGCGGTTGACCATCCAAAAGATCCCGTAGGTGGTCATGCGTGAGGGAATATTCCGTGATAAACGCACAATGGTGACACCCGCCATCACCGTGGTATTGATGTTTTTTTTGCGCCCTGTACGGTGGTAAAACTTAGCAGTAGGTAATTAATTCCCGCTCACTCAGTGGCCCAACAGAGAAAGGGAAATGTTCCGCAAATTACGTACGCGAACCGCACGGCGTTTTATGCGGTGTTTTTTTTAAATAATTGCATCTTTTAACTCATTTAGGTTATGGTAATTTTTGTTATTTAATTTTTTAAACAAGTGCAAGTGGGAAAGGAGAAGTGTTTCATGGTCGGCCATGGACATCCGCAACGCCTGAGGAGGTTACAGATACGTCGGTTCGCCATTACCAACATCGATTTTTGTAAAAAATAGGAAAATCTTCTCAAATTAAATATCATATTTTCATCTATTGTTCGGCAGACCTCTTGGTCAATTCCACGACTATTATAAACTAGCTGACCCGACAGACGTTGTCCTGTCTTAACGATGACTATTTAATTCGAATTGGTATAATTAATAAAAAAACTGTGTTTATTATTCTAATGCTTTATGATATACAATATTCTTGGTATTGATATATAATATTCCGACACGGGAACAGGCGATATATAACGCGTGATAGCGTGACCAAGGGAAATAGGGATTCATTTTTATATATATAGATTATAGATATATTCTTAAATTTTCTAACTTTCCGCGCGATTTTTTAATTTTTTTCTTTCATAAGAACCTTCTTCTGATAATAACAAACACAACAAAAAAAAAACAAAGGGGTGAAATCGGTTCAGCCATTCACGCGTGATGGCGTGACCAAGGGAAATAGGGATTCATTTTTATATATATAGATTACCTATTGCGTTCCTTCAGGTTTATTCGTCTTTTTAGTTCATCTCTAAACTTCATTATTATTTCTAATGAGAAAAAAAATGTTCCTTTAAAACATAGGGTTATTTTGAATGGATCTTGATTAATATTGGCTAAATGAATAATTGATTCTCATCAAGGTTGGCTATACAATTTTTTTAAGAGATAGCAATATAATATATTTTTCCTGATTCTTCTTCGTTGTATTTCTTTGTGTGTACTAAAGAATATTCAATTCAATCAATAAAATTGAAGCCTAAACAAGTAGATAAGGATTAGCAGCTATTTATTATTTATCTTGTGTTTTTTCGCATAATATCGTCTTCCCTAACATTGCATTTTCAATATATAAATCTTACTTAAATCCTGATCCATAACATTAAATGCTGCAAAGAATTCTTAACTTCCGTTAAAAATTGTTTCGCATAAACGATACATAGGTGTTGTTCCCGTAAATATAAGAAATTAACACATTTAAATTCTGATTTATGCTGTATGTGATAAAAGATATGTGAAAGCTATTTAAGAAGGAATATTTTATAGAAATACGTTATCCACTAATACTCAAGGCTCCGCGGGGTCGATCTATAGTGGGCGTTATCATATTATAATAGTGTATCGCTTGATGTGTTTGGAGCACTTAATGTACTTTTAACATCTATATCTAGTACATTTATTATTCATGTCTAATAAAGAAATTTAGTAAAAATGATGCTGAAATTTATTACAAATTATGTAGAAAGAAATTGCTTCTCGATTAAATCAATATTAACATCAGGAGATATCCATTAACAGAACGATTTCCTATATCTAGCAATAGACACGATGAGTTATTTCAATAATTATTTATCTACATCAGCAGATGTAAGGTAGTATGTCTCGAAGTTCTTGTGAAAGGGAATGCGTGGAAAACGTTTCCGAATGGTGGTGGAACGGAGGCGAGCGCACCATCGGACAGTGCGCGCCATGACACCGCGAACGTTGACCGCCCTAGCGGCGATTCTTGCCGTCACTAGCGCTGCCGTTGATGAACAAAACGGCATCATCTACCAACTTACTGGTACGCAACGTTACTCTCCATTTTTATTTTTAAAAAAAATCTATCCCCCGTTCCGAGTTTTATTATCTGTGCCGATGAAGTGATACGATTTTGGCGCGCTTTTCCACCCGTCTAATGTTAATATTTTATAACTTTTTAAAGTGATATTCTTTTTCGTGTTTGGGTTTGTAAGGTTTTCATATATCGAAATTAAATACGCAAAGTGCGCAACGTAAGTACAAACTACAATTTTCTATAATAATTTTATTCAATAAATTTTTAAAAGTGTACTGTTATAAAATAAATTACATACTATCAAACTCGACATCCATGATTACATCAAAGTCGTAAAACTAACTTAAATACTTAGTTACTTGAAAAATACTAAACATTTCTAAAGTTTTATAATCCCTTGTTCACCGTTCACTAAAAATTGACATACATTAGTATTACTGAATATACAACTCGTATTATTGAAATGAAAATAGTAGGGAATCAAGTGTTCTCATTTCAGCATGTAGGTTAGAGTAACGTAATCTTTGAAACTTGTCCTGTGCAGTCTGAAAAAATTAAGCCGCCAAAATGATAAAACCATACACAAACATTTACTGTACTCATAATTAATTTATGGAAAAAGTAAATGTTTGTGTAGTAACGAAGTAGCCGAGAGGAAATGAAACTGATGCATGCATTTTGCATTCAAGCTTTTATAGTTACGTCTGGAAATAAGCAGTGTAAGGCCTGAAAAACATAATAATGGATGCATTTCACGTAAATCGCGCATTAAAATAGCATTTTGGAAGCACAAACTTCCTTCCTTCGGGTAAAACGGGACTCTATTTCTAAAACTCCAATGTTTGTCTGTCTGTCTGTATCTCATGAACCGTGATAGTTACACAGTTACACAGATAGTGTATTTCTGTTGCCGCTATAACAACAAATACGAAAAACAGAATACAGACATGATTTTTGTGCCATTATTATATTCTTATACCAAGTCGAGGCATCAGGAGCGTAGTAAGATAAAGCTTTTATTTATATGGAAGTGGTTGCTGGCAAATAAAGGAGCATACAGCTCACCTAATAGTAAACGATCATCCAGGCCCACCAAAATTTATACATACATTCGTATGTGCATTCCCAGCAACAATACCGTTTGTTGTAAAAAGTGCCGACCTTCTAGACAGGCACAGGGCACTTCCCTCATAGAATGTGTCATGTTCGTGCGTAGCTAAAAATTAATCGAAAAGCGTACGCAGTCGAACCTCCAACTTTCAAGGAGCTATCGACGAAGGTCCTGAGTGTTTTCGCTCTGTAAAAGGAGTTCAGGAGCAGGTATTATTTGAAGAGCTGTGATAGCTCAGTGTCCGGGCGCTCGCCTTAATTCAATATACTCGAGCAACCTGAGTTCGATCCCCGGTGCCGGCACCAATGAAGTTTTTAACTTTAAGTGCTGACTTATCACGTGCTCCGCGGTGAAGGAAAACATCGTGAGGAAACCTGCATATTTTCGAAATAATAACAAAAAAAAATATATTTCGAAAATATGTGAAGTCCGCCAATCCGCAATGGGGCCGCGTGGTGGACTATGCCCTGATACCCTCTGTATAGAGGAGGCCTTTGCCCAGCAGTGAGACATGTATAGGCTGTTACTTTACTTCACTTTTATTATTAGGAGCGGCTCCTCGAAGCCTCCTCACTTGTTACTCTGAGTTGGCTACTACGCTACGGAGTCATCTAAAATTTAAATATAGAACATGTAGCATTAGTTTTCACATATTCATCTCTCACCTTTTAATACTTCCTTAGGGTCAAGAGACGTGACGCTCGTATGGCCGTATGTCCTTATGATATGTTCACACATTATCCAAGACGAACGTTTACTCCAAGACTCATTAAAGTGTTGGCCGATCGCAAAAGGTAACTTGGCAGTAGCAATTGAGCGACTCACTCTTTCATGTACCTTGTTTGAAATGCCATTGTTAATGAAAATAGTCGTATTGTCTTTTGTCTGCGGAATGATTATAATTTAATCAAGCATTTGAGTAATTCAGTTTTATGAATAATAATTTAAGATTGTGATAAAACATATGGTGAAATATGACCTTAACCGACCTAACGGACGTTTACTCTCACGTACTCGAGTACTTTAGTTTCACGTCATTTAGTACCAAACGGGGTAGGTGACATGCCTGTTATCGTATACAAGTCACGAATTTGGGTTGAACAGTATTTTTTTAACATCGTCACTATCATCATTTCAGCCTGTTTGAGTCCACTGCTGAACATAGGCCGCCCACACGGACTGTCACGAAGTACGATCCTGAGCCACCTGCATCCATCGACGGCACATTTGCATTTTATTGTACTTATTTAACATAAAAGTCAAAAAAAAATTAAAAACTTATACGAGTCCCACAGCTGGGAAAAGGCCTTCTCTGTACTATAAATATTAGCGCATAGTCCACCACGCGACCCTACTACGGTATTGGCCGACTTCACATATTGTTTCCAAAATATGCAGGTTTCCTCACGATACTTTCCCTCACTGCTGAGCACGTAATAATTCATCACTTAAATTAACAATCTAATTGGTGCCGGCACCAGGATTTGAACTCTGCTTGCTCGAGTATATTGAACTAAAAGCGAGCGCGATCGGACTCTGATCTATCACGGCTCACACATTTTTCAACATGAGAACAACGTAAATAAACTAGACCCCGAATCCTAGCCACACATGATAAATACGCCGACCTAGCTACAAGACCATTGGTATTTGACCCCTCGTCTAATTTAACAGCCCAAGAGTCACATAACGTTTAGAAATCGATTTGATTTACTGAATATAACGTCATTATTATCTTTGTTATTAACTAAACTTTGAAATAATTCGATTAAATACCATTGGTATTTGACCCCTCGTCTAATTTAACAGCCCAAGAGTCACATAACGTTTAGAAATCGATTTGATTTACTGAATATAACGTCATTATTATCTTTGTTATTAACTAAACTTTGAAATAATTCGATTAAATCGATTTAAATTTATCATAAACGCACTATCGTATTATCTCTAAAGAGAAAACAGATCTCTACTCACTTTAGTCCTAAAGATTAGCAGTGTTAAATAGTTGCAATAGAAATGTATCTATCTTAAAGTCAAAGTCAAAGTATATTTATTCAATATAGGCTTAACTTAAGCTCTTGTTGAACGACAACATAAATCTACCACCGGTTCACTAAACTAGACCTGCACAATAAACCTGTTAAATAAACATCTATTGCTGTTTTTAAATTTTGGTGTACGAAGCTTTGTAGCTTAAGTTTCCATCACGAGAGGGATCGAACCTACTACAGCAGTTAGCAACGTGATGCCGTAATTCAATGCGTCATTCGTGCAATCCAATTTTAGTTAAGCACCCTCTTCATGGCTTTCATAACTAACTAACACTTAGCATCCTTATCGGACGTATGAATACGTTTTACATCGCACTAATTTCTGCTCCATCGCACCTGTAAGGTGTGTTTGAACACGAATCGGTTTGTCGTCGTTAAAAAAAAGCATTGCGTCGGTCGTTGCATAAAATTAATCGGCCGTTATCCTTAATCGGCGCTCGGGTCGCTCTATCCAGGGCATCTGGCGCGTTGCGTAACACGCGTGCGCTTTCTACGATGCTATTTGTCGAACTGATGTCACCTAATGCTATATACCCCTGTCACATTCCAGGTCATTAATACATTTGATATGCGGCTATTTACCGAAATTCATATTTTCAACGCGCAACGTTTCGTTAAGACGACAGAAATGAGCGTTTTTCGCGATATTTTTACGTTCATGGTGTTTGTTATACATCGAAAAACCCGGCCAAGGGCGAGTCGGAGTCGCGCACGCAGCATTCCTTACATTTATCTATAAAAACAGCAACAAAAATCATGTCTGTTTCATGGGAGCTCCACGTAAATATTTTTTTATTCAATTTTTTTAGTATTTGTTGTTATAGAGGCAACAGAAATATATCATTTGTAAAAATTTCAACTGTGACAGACGGACAGACAGAGTCTTCGTTATAGGGTCCCGTTTTACCCGTTATACGGAACCCCTAAAAATGTTTTTGTGCACTTTTTTATAGTCCCCCTGACGCGTTGCTGCTTTAGAATAACAATTAATTGTCGTCTTACAACGGGATAGCTCATGAGGAAACACGCATGTTTTCGAAATAATAACAAAAGAAAACATTTCGGTGATACGCGAAGGCTGCCAATCTGCATTGGAGTCGCGGGATGGACTATAATCTAACACCTTCTGTACAGAGAAGGCCGTTAAGTTCGTTATTTTACTTAACTATGTAAGCAATCCACTTTTCAAAACTCGCTACTGCCTCGTGAGCACACTGACAGAATGCTTGCACATCTTGTGTCATTTACATGTTACTATGCATATCTATAGTTTACATACATCATACTTTCCGCATCAAGCTAAGTTTCTAGCAGAAAACTTATAAGAAAAATATGATTTTGGATGGGTTATCGAATTCTTAATCACAGATTAATATGGCATTATAATCCTTAACATAAATCCTTAATATTATCGTAGAGTAGGACTTTATGTTATCCTGTCAAGAATTTTACAAATTATTACATAAAACTAGTTTTATGGATTTTATCACGTTTAATTTAAACTTAAATTGTAGGCTTTCCTAATACTTCAAGATCATGAGATGGACTGAGAGGTCTACATACATATACTACGTTCTAATGTCAATCTGATATCAGGTCCTAAAAATAGTATCTCGTGTCCCACTAATATACTAGAAAAACACATTAAGGCAAATTATTTCTCAGTCATATACATACTGGTTTCCAGTGAATAACAAATCTGCGACTTTCGTCAACATTTGTTTCATCAAAAAATCGTGTATACTTTAGATCTACTATTCATATTTGAATATAATATAATACATTATAATAAAAACGTTCACGAGAACAATGGAGTCTTTATCTACCAATATCCGGTGGAACTTCTGATCAACGCGATCGGAACGCATTCCGTTTGCATCATCCAAGATATAGGAACGTTCACCCTGCATCGTTGAAAAAATCAATACGAAATACGCTCGCGTTATACTTTCGTCGATAACTGTCGTAATTTTACAATATTTCTCTGGAAATTATGCTTCAATTGTGTTATATTCTGATATATAAATAAGTTTCATTTGGGGTGAAAAGCGTCTATAGCTTGAACTTATAGAAAGCGCAACCGCGGTTGAGAAGGTGAGGACCTGGTTAATGGTGGACTATTTGTTATCATGACCATACAGTGAAGAAATCAGATCTATGTCCCAACCATAGATGAAAATTAAATAAACGGTTTTAAGGTATAAATAATAAATACTAACGCGTACAGTGTTATTAAAGGTTTTTTATAGCAATAATATACATAATTCAATTCAAATTATGTTCAATATTATTCTTTGACAGTTTTAACTGAAACATGAAATTTTTTAATTACTTTCCTAATTAAAAATGTCATGTTTGGTTTAAAAAAACTATTTATCGTGATCTTAATACCCAGCTGGCATGGGACTTGACTTAAATGCCCCAAAAACACCAGAAACATTTTGGGGCTTCCCTTAAAAGACACCGTCCGTCCGTCCGTTTAGAGTCGACGCCGATAATCTGATTGGCTCATTTGCTGGAGTACTACGGCGCTATTCCATTTCGTGTACTGAGTCAGGTAACCAGAGGCACATATTTTTCGGCAACACATTCCCAACCCCACTTCTTACGTGAGAAGGTAGCAACCGAGCTGGTGGTTCACCCGGTTTTAAGTGATGAAATAATCAATAAATATTTCAGGACATATTTTTACCCAAGATTATTTAACCCATACTAAACAACGCGTACTACAGATACTAGGTAACTGATAAACATACTAAAACATACATTTCTTTTGTAAATAAATACATATTATTTTAGATATATAAACATACAGACACTGGAAAAAGACTATGTTCATCACAGTTTTTTCCAGTAGTTGGGATCGAACGCACAAAACAATCGCTGCCCATTGACATTTGCAACACCCATAGTGTTACAAATGAGCTGCCACCTTTTAATCAAGTGGGCCCCGGCTGCCTCACTCCACAGACGAAAGACAGAAGTATACTTCCACTTAGCGCCGGTCGTCTGTGAGGTCGTGATTAACCGGACGGACCTGCCAGCTCGTGCAACAGCGGAGACTATTGCGTGGCACTACCACAGTTATGCCACTGACCATCAGTATCACTCTCACCTTCTAGGCTTGTCTTTAACGAAGAATGTTGTTACAGACGAACAGTACTATGAGATGCCGACGCTCTTCCACCTGGACGAGTTCGACGGGTGCCTGGCCACCCGCGACGCCTACTGTCTCGGCAGCTTCGAGCTCTCCGCCGAGCCGGACCACAAGCTGTTCCAGACCATGCAGGTAACCCCCTTTCAGGGTTCCGTACCCAAAGGGTAAAACGGGGCTCTATTAATAAGACTCCGCTGTCTGTCTGACTGACAATCTATCACCACGCTGTATCTCATTAACCGTTATAGTTAGACAGTAGAAATTTTCACAGATGATGCATTTCTTTTGCCGCTATAACAACCAATACTAAAAAATAGAATATAAAATAATTATGTGGGGCCCCCATACAACTAACATGATTATTTGCCGTTTTTCTAGATAATGGTACGGAACCCTAAATGCGCAAGTCTGTTAATAACTAGCATTCACTGATGACTGAATTACACTACATTGGTATACCTACATAATATCTATTCATAGACGTAGGCGCAGTACTGGCCCTTTTTTTAATATATACAAAGTATTACATATACGAAAAAATGTATACTAAAAAGTGAGTGTACACATATACACGCGCGTAAGAAGATATACTTTTGTAGTGTAACAAAAAAAATAACTCAAAATTTAACCCTTTGTACCACTCTTTGTTTGTGAAATAGACATTTAATGCCATTGATAACGCGCTTCGTAAAAAATTTACTCTCATAATTTTGCTACCCTCTCCGTTTGAATGTTCCATATCCCATCTTACAGAGCTTTCATAATACATATAGAATTGCCGCCAACATAACAGATATGGCGATGAGGAGGTTTCCACTCTGTTGGAATTCTAGTGGTCTACCACGGATGATGCCAACACCCGTCCGCCCAATTAATATTTCTCCTTTCGTCTCCTTCTGTTTAGTAGAATTCATTCTCCTTGTAAATTTATTCAGGTAAGAAAATATTAATATTCTAATTTACAAGAAATAACCAGAAAAATATGAACTCAAACATTGTTTGTTTATCCCGTTAAAAGTGGTCAACCTATTAATAAGCGGTTTAGTAAGTATGAATTCAGCGAACAGTTTTAGTGCTATTGAATAGGTTATTGTATTGAGACGGTAAGGCAGGAATTTCTAATAGGGTGTCCATAATATTTGAAAAAATTAAAGATTATCTTTGAAAAAAAAATTAGGTCACAAGTACGTACCAGATTCAGATTTCGAATCAAATTCTGTATATGCTCCGTTAATATATCCGTCGTCAATAAGACGAACAAAAGGCTTAACGCGTCGTCTTAATCGAGTTACCTTTCCGTCAGCTGACGTTATTGGTAATTCACTCGAATTCCTCGTTTCTGATTCCAAACGCTAGCTTGACTCAATCTATACTAATGACTTTTCTCGTCTCTCCTTGCATTATAATAAAATATTAGTCTGTTGGCGTTAGCACGCGTGAATACATGCGTAGGTACATTCTTTTAATTCAGGGTCCACAAATATTTGGTGTTGCTGATTATCTTTCTTAGGTATGCTAGCCAAATATAGATATATTTAGATTTTATTCCGCAAATCTTCGCACAAATATCACATTGTCGGTAGCTTCTTCCCTTGTCAGCTCAAAGAAATCTCCCGGTGATTACGAATCAAGGTAAGTTAATCTGTTTTATTTCTCAAATTTGATCAAAGTCCTAAAGGAAATGTCGATAATTCCGATACCCAATTTTCTGTTTTATCCTCTGCACATTAGCCCTATTTTAAGGGAACGGTGCCATCTCTCTACTTTTCCATTTGACTGTAGACGGTATGTAGTAGTTCTCTAATCTTCTGGATTCTCATTCTTCTAGATACGTCTCTAAATTCATCAATGACGGCCTGATCAGTTTTTAGATATAGTGGTGTTCCAAATCTCGCAATCGAGCCTGTGTACTTGACGTCAGCTCCGCAGGTGCAACCGTTTTCAGCAGCAATATCCTTTACGGGATAGGCTTCTGGCCATACAGTTTTTCTATCCGCCATAGCAATGGTTCTCAAAGTGGGCAGTACTGCGAAACTGGTACTTTGAAACTAAATATTGGGGGCGCTAGATAAAAATCGGAAGCGGTGGAAAGTGTAACGGTACGATTAAAATTGTTACTAGTTAATGTTAGTTGTGCACCGGTAATATTAGATTAAAAGTATCAAGTGCCTGTTATTTTTAAATGAAAATTATTATAAGTACTTTTGATAATTGTTTACATTTGTTTTTGACTTACACATATTTTAAATTGATGGAGTAACAACCTAGTTGCAAAGATATTCAGAGAAATTTACTAAACAGCCTACCTTAAAGCTTTCCGTACAATTTTCTGTAAAAACTTTAGATGAAGATTTCTAGGGGTGTTGGTATTCAATTTTTGCAATGGTGAGCGGTACACCAAAACAAGTTGACAGTAACTCAGCGGTTTGACCGTGTCTATATATACACACGGTCGAAACCGTCGCTATGTACGAAATCTCCATGATATCCTGTATGACGATGTATTTTTGATCTCTGACCACTTATGCTTTCTTTAGTCCATAGTCCAAGGTTGTTATTATTATTGTCTGTATTCCTGTCCATATATAACGTCTTGCATTATCTTGCGTGTGGTCCATATACCAGCAGCGTTGAAAGCTGATACTCGAAATTCCGTAGGTAAATTATGGTCAAGCGTTATTCGTTGATATTTCGCAGCAAATCGGTTTCTTGCAGTTAGGTATAATAATTTCTTGAAACTTGAATACACAATTATTTTGTTATAGACTTTACAACTCTTCATTTCTGCACTGCGATATGTCAACTTCTCATAGTTAATGGGTGATGTTGCTGTATATATTGAAGATAGTATAGATATCCGAGATTAACAATCAGCTGCTACGTTTTCTTCACCCGCAACGTCCGTATAAAAATTGCATGATGAAATCCAAATGTCTAATGCACTAGATGTATCGTTCTTGCTTACGGTATTTTTTGTAATGAGTATACAATTGCTTTGTGATCTGTATACATGTTTAGAAAACTCCCTTCGATTAGTGGTCTTAAATACTTAATAGCCATGTAGATTGCGAGTTCCAAATCGTAGGTCGAATATTTCTGTTGATTCCGACTTAGTTTATTCGAGAAACTTTGCCGCATAATAATCAGCGTATGTCTGGTATTTACCGGACAACACGTTGGGAAGTTTTGAAACGAAACAAATCGAATCACTTCGTAATAATCAAAAAAATTCCTTTCAATATTGGTTTATACAAGATGTTGTTAGCAAATTGCAGTGGCTTCCATTTCACAGTCAAGGCCCATTAAAAAAACATAACCGGGCCCGGTTATATAAACGATGTTGTGTAATCCGTAACCCACAACGTATAACGATGACGCAATGAGTTTGTTTATTTCTCCTCCGCTAATTATACGAGTATCACAAAGCATATCTTTATTTCTTCAAAGTCTGTTCCTCCTTCCGTGTCTGGCTCTTTCGGAAACGTGACAAACAATCTCTATAAGGATTGTTTTTAAGTATTACCGTCCTCAATTCCGTAATAATTTTAAGCATACTCCTTTCTCCACCAAAGCCACGGTAAACTGTAGACGGTATAAGCCGTTTTTGTTTTCAAAACATTGTAATATAAACCATATGAGACAGAGTCTCCATTTCCGGACTTTTTGTGTTTTTTTTTTTTCGTAACGCCATAACTTCCATAATTGTTCATAAAATTTTACGATTCCATTTTAAAGCGTATGTTTGCCACTATTGTCAAAAATGGACAAATAGAATAAAGTAATAAATTAAAAATAAGAGTATATATAAAATTTTCGTGTCACAATGTTATTTGCCATACTCCTACGAAACGGCTAGATCTATTTTGATTAAATTTTACCCCAAACATTTTAGTTTTTATTTTTGGGAAAAATTATGGCAACAACAACGTTAGCCGGGTCAGCTAGTACTTTTATAAAAAATCTTGTCAGACCTGCCAAGTCAAAACATCATATAAAGAATGTATGATTATGCCATGTATTGATAATTTTTTAAACGAATTATTTGTTTAAACGATTCTTCAAAGTAAGATACCTTCTTTCGATAAATACCTAATTGCCAGTTATTATATTACCATTCGATGACTGATCACGATAATCTGCGATAATTTCCCACGGGTTAACTAGGTAACATTATATCAGCTTTTACGAGTCTTTGTTCAAATATTTTTTCCAAAGTCCACGTGTCCCTTTATCGATCCTAGTGATCAACCTACATTAATCATACGAAGTTTCTATGATTCCGTCAGAGGAATGCGATTGGACATTTGGGTTAGAGAGTGAAAGGAGCGCTTAAAGGGAAGCCGCTCTGGAAGGGACAGGTCGTCGACCGCCGTTAGGTTTAAGGACGCTTAACTAATTTAGCGTCTGATTAATATGCCGATTGAATTGAAAGTGCATTGCTGATATGTACGTTTCCGACTGCGACGTAGCGTGCGTGAGCTTTGTTTTTGAAGCTACACTTCTTTTGGCACGTCAGGGAAAAATGATGAGAGTAAATTTTCACGATGCGCGCGCACACCGCCGCGAAAAACCGACACCCTGAAGTTAGCCACAAACGTCGATTTTATGACAGCTGTATAGGGTCCACCGTCCAAAATGTCCATTTCTTATTAATTATGTAGAATTTTTTTTGTGATATTTAAATAAACTTTATTTAACTAGATAATGCGTTATAATAAAAACTTTCAATGTATTAAATAACTTTTTTCTATTGTTAGTGTCGTTTCTCCTACAAACGTAGAATAAGGCGAAAGATGAATTTTTGGAAAAGATTTTAATCTTGTTACGCCAAAGAAGTATAACTTCTAACGCGTTTAGAAATGAAAGAAACAAAAAAAAAAGAATTTTTTTTCGAAATTAATCGTTTACATAAAGTACACACACACTTTTTTGTTTTTAATTATTTATAGAAAAAACTAAATACTGCTCAAATTATTCATGTCCAAATAAGTTAATTACTTTTGTAGGCCCAGCATATGAATCATTGTTTCGAGTAATAAGACTAGGCTAGGTTTTTTAATACCGGCCGCATGCCTGACGTCAGCCTTCCTTGGGAATAAAGACTCAAATCCGTTAGCAATTATCTAAGGGTC